GGGTGAGGGGGGGTGAAGGCGGCGACGGAAGCGAGGAGAAGGAGAACGACGGGGGGCTGCCCGGGGTGGGGGGCAGGGTGCCCTGTGGAGGGGGAGGGTTTCTGCTGGGAGGGTTGTAGATGACAGACGGGCGGTGGTTGAAGTGTGGGTAACGGGTAGGGGGGGATTTGATGCGGGTGAAGTTCATGCACCTGCCCTGGAAATGTAAAAAACACAATGAAACAAAGTTGCACTTTTAGTTTTTGCAATGGCTTTATATGATGCTTTAACCCCTCTTTGTCACATTTAAATCATTCCAGTGGAACTGCACTTCCTCCTTATTGTAACTCCACAAGCCCCTCTTTCACTCCTTTTCTGAGATGTGTCTCAGATCAGTTCTATTTGCCGCGGTCTGTTTAAATCCAACTGAGACCCCGCCCCCCCTCCAGCTTCCAGATCGGTCCATTCTAGTTTGATGGAGGGGTTTAGCAGCACAGGACCGTTTTATTTACAAACTGATTAAAAGATGTCAACAACAGAAGACCTGTCCAGCCAGCCTTGGAGCCAGAGTTCTGACTCTGAGCGAGAGGAAAATGAAGACGACCAAATTGTAGTTTTCCATTAGTTGGCAGTTCAATCAAAAATAATTTGATGTAATAGTTCAGAAAACATCATAGAAAATAAAGAAAACTGAACAAGTTGAATATACAGATCATAAAGAAATTTTTGCAGCACCAGGAGAAACTAAATTAAACTTTTCTGCACTCCGAATCAACAAAATGTATTTAACAGCTAAAAAAGTGGAATATGCATATGTCCCCTTTGAAACATAAGAGTAAAATCCTGGTCCCAGAGGACCTGTGTCATCCATGTTTTGATGCTTCTCAGGGTAACAACAAAAACATGCAGGACAGCGACCCCCCAGGATAGGATACCTCTGCTTTAAAACATTAAAATGTTTAAATAAATCCAAACTGTCAGAGGACTAAAGGTCATGTTTTCTGCACAGAAAAACTAATGTTATAATCGGATTTCATGGTTTATCAAGCCAGTTTTGCTGATGAAGCACTTTTCTTTCTCTAATAACTAAAACAGAAACATTTCTTGAGTAAAAAGCTGCGTACAGTGATGACTGAAGACTCAATCGTTGCAAACAATTTTCAGTTGTTGCAAGCAGCTGCAATGTTTGTTTTGACACCAGCTGAGATATAACTTCAGAGGATCCCGTCACAATACTTCGAAGGAGCCATTTAACTATTTAGCTGAAAAAGTTCACTTCTGGTCGTTGTCCTTGGTCCAAAGTGAGGTCATGTGAAGAGAGAGCAGATCCTGGGCCAGAAACAAGCTGACGCCCCTTAGAACAGCTGCACTGAATGAACCAGGGAGATGCAGTGACATGATAAGGTTTTATCTATCATTTGGCATCAAGTCAAAATGACCTTACAAACAGAATCAGGTCAGAGGAATGCTGATATTTAAGTGGCAAAGACAGGAAAAGAAATAAAAACTATGTTGGAATCCTTCAAATCCCAGTGGACACTGAAGATAAAAAATCTCTTGGACAGTGTTCAGTTCAAATGAATCATACTTTAAAGATCAGAAAATGTGACTTTTTACAGAAACCTGATGTGGGTTTCTCTGTGGAATACAGTAAAAAAAAAACAGGCTTCCTCCCTCGGACTACTGGCTAATTAAGGGAAAGACATAAAAGTGTGGCTTTTACAGGAGCCTTGTAACTGCAGTCAGAACTAACTCGTTAACTCGCTCAGGAAATTAGAGCCAAGTGTTTTTTGTTAAAGTTTTTTATAGGAAGGAAGACTAACTTGTACACTTCTGGTGTAAACAGGAAAAATGAAGACAAACCTCAGAGCTTTGATGTGCAGAGGTGGCGACACCTTGGTTAGCGATGACAGACTGACGAATCTACTTAAAATCACTACAGTAGCTACAAAAAAAAATACTTTTTGACTTATTATTAAAAATAAAAGCATGCAAAAAATCTTTGTTTTTAATCACTTTAACTTCTCTTCCTGTTATTAATGCAAACTGCAGAAACCTGAGTCTAATAACTACACAATCACTGCCTCCTGAGGTGTTGTTTCACTGGGCTGTCCCAAACAGACCGGAGACACAAAAATGTAAAAAAAAAAAAAAAAAAAATACACAAATTTTTACTTAGAATCACACAAACAACTTGTTTGTTCAGATGCCTGACAACATTTTGGCCAAAATTTACCAGGAGTTCGCAGCTCTACTCTAAAATTATATATATATTTAAAAAACTACACTGAGAATAGTTTAAGATGAACTCCAGATCCTAAAAATGATGAATCTGAGAGATTATTTCCCTTACAGATTTTTTGAAACATGTTCATATTTTCTGTGACATGCGAGCGAGGCTCTGTGACTCACACAGGGAAACTCATGAGCCACGCAAACATTTTTGAGGTGTTTGGGAAACTCCCTCATGAATACTGTTCACAACATGCAGCTCAGTCTCCAGGAGGGATCAATGTCTGCACATTAGAGATGTCCGAAAAAAGTTATCTAGTTTTTCTGTAAACGTGATTATATTTTCACCTGTTGATAACTAACTCCTCCGCTTTGTCTTCATTTAAAGACGAAGGAACCTTGCTGGTTATCTTGAGCTACTTGAATGGAAAACAATAAAACTTGTTTCTTTTGTTTCTTGAAGTTGTTTCACCTGAAAAGCTTCTCCAGCTCATGTCATGGATCCAAAGTTTCAGGATTATAGTAAAGGTCACTACAGTCACATGTTGTGAAAACAGAGGAGTAAGACTCCACTTGCTCTCTTTAATATTATGGTTTTCCTTAGTTTAACATAGATTATTTCTTTTACTCCTCTTTAATCTAGTAAGATTTGTAGATTACCAGTATTTATTTGTTGTAACAACGCTTCTTGACATTGAATCTCGTATCATTTGAAAGCCTGTTAATTTCCCGTTTAAATGGTGTCACATTTGTAAGGAACATGCATTTGTGGGGTGAGCAGTAGAGCTGAGTATGTGGGTTGCACACATGAAAAATTTGCCAAATTTTCACTTGCTAACAGCTTATTTTGCTGTTGTTATTGACACTTATTTTGAGCTTCTGGTACCCCCAGGTGCTGCCATTCAGGTGCCTGGTATAAAATTTATGGTCAAGAAACATTGTTACAACAAAGAAATAATCTACTAAACAGAGATTTCTATATAACTGGACACAGTTCGTGACTATTATTGCACACATTTCTTACACATTCACACCATTCAGACAATCACTTCTTCAAAAGCAGTTTTTAAATAAAACCTTTGCTGGAAAGTGGGCTTCTAATGTTTCCCTCCTACAGGAGCAGAGCTTCAGATGATCTCACCCCAAAGTCATGGTCACATGAAAAGTGTTTAATGTAAAGTCAGCAGTGTATTCTCCTAAAACTGGACTGTCAACACAGCTGTGTCCCACCATGTGCAGCCCAATAAAAGCAACGAGACCTTCAGAAAGGTTTCAGACTGTACTTCCACAACCCAAACTAAATGATCCCATTATGTAAAAAGTCAGTAACCAGCCCAATAAATGTATTCTGTAACTATAAAATGGGAAGTGTTGACTGAAAACTTTCAGTGTGGAATTATCACCTGCAGACCCCCCCCCCCCCTTAAGTTTTTTTTTCTTTTTACAGTATTTCTACATGTACAGTCTTGTGTTTGCCAAATTTATAGAGGTCCTCACACTGTTAGCTCCCTGAAGCGTTCAGCTTTCAAGGGATTCCTTTGGCCTCTTCGAAACGACTCCACCAGACAGCCTCACATCTCAGAGCTCTGGAGCCAGATGCTCCTCTCTAAATCCTAAACTCATCGCAACTTTTCCCCCCAGGAGGCTCTCTGTTCACACTTCACTGCTGACAGCCGGTTGACTTTCTTCACATTTGCAGCAGAGAATTGAGCAGGTCAGGTCGGCCTCGTCCAGTTTTAGTGTTCTTACCTTGTCACCTGGATGTGGTCTCATCACAGACACTCTGTCGTAGCCCCTTTTCAAAAACACCCACAGTGCATCCAGTTTGCTCTGCAGAAAAGAGGAAATCAACATGCAACTTGAACAAATAGGTCAAGTTTTTTTTAATAATTATTTTAAATACAGGCTTCATCCATTTCTGCTTCCTTTTTATTCATTTTTTTTCCTTTCTCTCTCAGTTGGGGACTCAGCCATGCTCCAGTATCAATAAAAAGGCTAGTTTTCTCTCCTTCCTGCAGGCATTTCAGTGACAAACAGAAACGGTTCCAGTTTGTTGTTAAGTAACTCTTCGTAGTTTAGAAAAACACTGAATAGTTGGGAGGATAAATGCAGAAAGCACAGCTGCTTTTCCTCACAAACTGCTGGCTGTGCAGTTCTTCTCCCCGGAGGTCAGTCCAACAGGAGTCTGGTTTCTATTAGCATTCCCCGCTGACTGGAAAGCCTTCACTCCTCTAACCTCTCGCTGGCTCGGTGCCAGCACTCACCTAAACCTTATTATCTTCAGTTTGCTCACTTCAATGTATTAATAATATGACATAGTGTGATTAGCATGGAATAATTAGCAGCACATGTTAAACATTAAGCTTCACACATGTTAACAAATAATTAAAAAAAAAAAAGCTTTTATCTCTGCAGAACTGTAAAGCAGCCACAAGTGCTTTTATCTGAGCCACATTCAAACACATCTTAGATAACTCGGAAATTATCCAGAATAACTTGTGTTTATGTCAGAGGAAACATAAAACTTGTGCTGTTTTTTTAAATTGTTAACAAATCAAGAGGAAATCGGTTATTTTAGTTTCCTCCTGTCACTCTGGTACCTTGATGGGGGAGAACCACGTGCGTGGCTCCGGTGGTTTGCGCATGCCGTTGTTGAGAACCCGTGTGGGAGGAAACTCGTACTCCTGCTCGGGCATCTTCACTTTAGCGTTTTTGGCTTTTTCCAGCTTTGCTCCTTCCTCAGTGGAGCCTTTTTCCCCCCAGCGGACCTGAAAACAAACTCTAATCAGTGCTTTGTTCATGCTTTGTTTGATGTCACTGAATACAATCTTTAAGAGAGGCAGTGTTTTATTAGTCATCAACCCAGTGAAAATCATTTAAAAGATTGTTTGGTGTAAAACCCAAAGGTTTTGTGGTGTTTCAAGCCAGCACTGCTTTATTGATATTTTACACCATTTTTCTTTTCAGCCATATGTATTGTTTGTCTCGTTTGTCTCTATGTGTGGCCCTGTGATGGACTTGCGACCTGTCCAGGGTGTACCCTGCCCCTCGCACCGTGACTGCTGGATATGGGCACCAGTGACC